TTTGTGTCTCTGTTTAAGTGCAATTAATACAAATACTTCCTTAACACTAATTGCTGTCTTTCAAGTCAGAGACTGATCTGGGTTTCACTAGAGTTTTATTATCTACAGCAGAAAGGGGAAGAGGACATAGAATACAGGATCAATGCTGACTAGAGAAGTGATATGTAAAGCTAAGTGTACCTGTACCTGAAGTCTTTGCATTTTAGAAATGTTCAGGCATTCAAAAGATATTTTTCATGCACACAGAAGGCATTCACGTGTCTCATTCCATCCCATTTGCTACAATTAAAGGGAATCATTTTTTCTTATTTTTTGTGATATGTGATGGAATGAGACATGTGAATGCCTTCTGTCCTAAGAAAGCTTTATTGTCCTATGCACTGATTAGAGGGCTTTTTGATTTCTTTCCCCTTCCCTTCTCACCATACTCTATATGGTTTTACTATCTTGTTTTGTTTTTCATTAAAAATGAACATCTACTTGCTACTGTGTTTGGGGGGAGATGAGGATTTTCCAATGATACTCTAAAAACAGAACCTATTAGGAAATAAATCACAGGGTAGTATTTTCACTCTTAGGTTAGATTATTACAGGTACAGGTAGTGCCGTCAATTTACACAGTGCTTTACATGTATTGTACATTCACATCAGTCCCTAACCCTTAACCCTTTGAGGACCGTAAGATTTTGGAACGCCAAAAGAATCAATTTATTTGTTTTTAAAGTTCGTACACTTCAGTTGCTGTAACTAAGCCATTTCATGAAATATTTGGCAAAAAGCTAGATCCTTTTGTTGTTTGTTGATAAGAACTAATATTTTGACTCAAACCAAAAAAAAAGAGTTTTAAGTTCTTAATCAGATGATACACGCAATTAAAAACATGGGACAAATACGTCCCTTGGTCCTCAAAGGGAGTAGGTATACAATCTAAGGTCACTAACTTACATTCATACATACACATACTAGGACCAATTTAGACAGGAGCCAATTAACCTACTGGCATGTCTTTGGAGTGTGGGAGGAAACCAGAGTACCTGGAGGAAACCCACGCAGGCACAGGGAGAACATGCAAACTCCAGGCAGGTGGTGCCATGGTTGTGATTTGAACCAGTGACACTAGTACTGCCATTTAGGCACTGTGCTGCTCACAGATTTATTTCAGGTACTTATATAGCGCCATCAATTTATGCAGCGCTTTACATGTATTTTGTACATTCACATCAGTCCCTAACCCTCAAGGAGTGTACAATCTAAGGTTCCTAACTTACATTCATACATACACATACTAGGGGCAATTTAGACAGGATCCAATGAACCTACCAGCATGTCTTTGGAGTGTGAGAGGAAACCGGAGTACCCGGAGGAAACCCACGCAGGCACAGGGAGAACATGCAAACTCCAGGCAGGTGGAGCTGTGGCTGGGATTCGAACCAACAACCCTAGTACTACCAGGCAGAAGTGCTATCCATTTAGCCACTGTGCTGCCCTATAGATCCCTATAGAAATTAAAGTGATTCTAAAGGTTGTATTTTTTTAAAAATAAGAAACATGTTATACTTATCTGCTCTGTGAAATTGCACAGAGCAGCCCCGATCCTCTTCTTTTTTGGGTCCCCCGCTACTGGTCCTGGATCCTTCCCCTCTGCAAGTGCCCCCAACAGCAAGCCTCTTGCTACGGGGGTACTCGACCGGGCTCACTTTTGACCATTGGATTCAACTAAAAGACTTCTAGAGCCATGCTCCTGTGAATAACCATTGTTCATTCACACACAGAGTGCAGGTCAGCCCCACCCCTGCTCTCTCCTCATTGATTCATTGACAGTGATTGACAGCAGCTGGAGCCATTGGCTCCTGCTGCTGTGTGAGCCAATCAGGAGGAGGAGACCCGGGAGAGCCGTGGCTCCCATGCTGGATCGAGATTAGGCTCAGGTAAATATAAGGGAGGCTGGGGAGCTGCACCCAGAATGTTTTTTACCTTAATGCATAGAATGCATTAGGGTAAAAAAAAACCTTCTGCCTTTAGAACCACTTTAACCGCCTCCCACCCGCCATATAGTCCAATGACGGACGAAAAGGGGTTCTCTCGTGCTGGAAGGACGTCATATGACGTCCTCCCATTCTCATCGCGCATTCGCGGCTCCGGGAGCGCACAGCGCGGCGATCGTCCGTGCGCTGTGTCCCTCGGACACAGCGGATCACCGATCCACGGAAAGAGCCGAAGATGTCGACTCAGTCATGTGATCAGCTGTGTCCAATCACAGCTGATCGCATGTAAACAGGGAAATGCCGGTTATCGGCATTTCTCTCCTCATGAGCTGTCACGCTGACAGCTCGAGAGGAGAGCAGAGCCGGTAATCGGCATTCCTCGGAGGGGACATGTGCACTGATCATCAGAGCACTGATGATCAGTGTGCCCTGATGATTAGTGTAGCCCCAGCAGTGCCACCTGTCAGTGTCCATCAGTAAAAGCTCTCAGTGCTCATCAATGACACCTGCCAGTGCCCATCAGTGCCACATATCCGTGCCTACCAGTGCACATCACTGTCACATATCAGTGCCCATCTGAGCTGCCTTTTAGTGTCACCCATCAGTGCCAGTCAGTACCCCCTATCAATGCCAATCAGTGCCACCTATCAGTGCCAGTCAGTGTGCATCAGTGCCGCCTATCAGTGCCGGTCAGTGCTGCCTAACAGTGCCAGTCAGTGCCACCTATCAGTGCCAGTCAATGCAGCCTATCAGTGCCACCTATCAGTGCCATATATCAGTGCTGCCTTTCAGTGCCCATCAGTGATGCCTGTCAATGCCCATTAGTGCCATCTCATCAGTGCCCATCAGTGCCACCTATCAGTGCCCATCACTGTAGCCTCATTAGCGCACATCAGTGAAGGAGAAAAATCACTTATTTACAAAATTTTATAACAAAAACTAAGAAAAAACGTTTTTTTTTTTTTTTTTTCAAAATTTTCAGTGGTTTTTGGTTTGTTTAAGAAAAAATAAAAAACCCAGAGGTGATTAAATACCACCAAAAGAAAGCTCTATCTGTCACAAAAAAATGATAATAATTTCATATGGGTACAGTGTTGCATGACTGTGCAATTGTCATTCAAAGTGCGACAGCGCTGAAAGCTGGAAATTGGCCTGGGCAGGAAGGGGGTAAGTGCCCGGTAGGCTAGTGGTTAAAGTACTTGTATAACTATTTTTTGCTCTGTAGAGTAAGAAGGGCTTTACTTTCTGTCCTGGTAAGGGGGGGAGGCTATAGGAAGTAAGACGAAATCTATAGGTGAGGGGAGTTCCCATCTATGGGCTGTTTCTGAAACAGATATCCTCACTGGATGATTTTTCTCACTTCCTGTTTAAGTTAGAAAAGTAAAAATGTGGATTTTACTTTCTGTCCCAGTTACAGGGGTGGTGTATGGTGACTTTAAGGCTACGTTCACACTAGCTTTGTCAGCAGGCGTCAGACAGGCGTTTGGGAAGTGTTTTTAATGCCTATGAAAATTCTGCACATGGCAGCACACAGTGCTGTTCACACTGAAGCATTAGCGTCGCGTTGCATCGTGGCAAAACTGACACCTCCTGTCCAGTAAGAAGAAGTTGAAGCCTCCCATTCAAGTCTATGGGGCTGCTCCTCAACCGCCTGGCAGGCGTTTGCGATGGGGCTGCGAGGCATTTGCGGAGCGTTAACATTTAACTTCATTATAGGAGTTTGTGGTGCGGTTTTAACGCTTGGCAAACGCCTATCAACCACCTCAAAACCGCGCATAGGGCATTTGGGGAGCGTTTGAGGAGCGTTAAAAACGCTTCCCAAATGCCTGTCAAATGCTATAGGGGCGTTTGGCAAGAGATAAAAATAAAGTCAAATGTGAACGAGCCCTAAGGCTCCTCTTTTGTCAGTTGTTTTGCCTGACTCAAACCAACTCATACACCCTCTACTATGGCCTTGATTCATTAAGCTGCAACATCACCCAGGGAGTGCTAAATAATACTTACAGCACACTAGAAATCACGTCCATTAGTATTGGTTTAAAAAGCCACTTTAGCTTGCCTTTAAGGTGTCATACATGCCATTGCAGTTTGATAAATCAGGAGAAACAGTATGTGGCTGTTTGAGGAACTTTCAGTAAGCATGGCTACTGTCTGACATACAGCTTGATACAAAATCCACAACTCTGTATATGAAAAGCCATTATAGAAATGCAGCTCAGAAACCATGTAAAATGATTTTCAGCTACACTTTCCAATGATTACCAAGACGTGTACTCAACTTAAAGCTGAAATCCAGGCACATATAACAGTTTAAATTAAAGTGGTTCTAAAGGCTGAAGTTATTTTTGTACCTTAATGTATTCTCTACATTAAGTTAAAAACCTTCTGAGTACAGCTACTCCTCACCCCCAGCCCCCCTAAACTTACCTGAGCCCGATCTTGATCCAGAGCAGCGATCTCTCCACTTTCTCCCTTCTCATAGGCTTAACCTCCCTAGCGGTCTGATTATGTCCATATTTCTGTGCTCAAAGTTGTACATTTTTTGCATGGAAATATGTATTTTTTTTATTGTAGGCCTGTAATTTTTAGGAATAACTCACTGAAATCTGTCCGTACAAGAGTCTAATAAACATTCCGGGTATGTTACAATTTGAAAAATGAAATCATAAATTATAATTTATTAAATAATCATAAAAAAAAATAATATAATAATAAATTTAATTCAATAACATAATCAAACCAAAAACACTGAAATTTGAAATATAGCGCCAAGTTCGCACATCACTGAGCAAAGTCGCAAAAATCGTTTTCAGTGTCTGATGACGAATTTCCCCACGAATCATTATCACTCAATTCTGCAAGTGGTTCTAATTTACTATCACTGTTCTCTAGCTGGTCTAAAACCGCTTTTGACCTAAAGGGACACTTTTTGGACACCATGGACATTTCTCAGTTTCCAGGCAGAAAGAACAGTAAAAATGCAGGCAGGGCACAGGACAAAGCACTCGGGACAAAATGTATGTGAAATGGTTTCATACAGTAATGTTTTACTATGTGATTTTAGTGAATTTAATGAATGTCACATTTTGTCATTTTCAAATTTCCCGCCGGTTCCGTCCCCCGTACGTCCTGACGCTCGCAGGGGACGGAACCCAGATGACAGATGCCGGAATCGGCCGGATTACATTGCCAGGGACACTGCAGGAGGGACATCACGGGAGCGCAGGACAAGGTAAGTGAAGAACAGATCCCGGAGCAGCGCCGCATGGTAAGCCCGAGTGTAGCTCGGGGTTACCGCTTGTGGTACTGAAACTTTATCCCGAGCTACACTCGGGAATACTGCCAGGAAGGCTACAGACAGCAGCAGGAGCCATTGGCAATTACAACCAGTGATGACAGAGCAGGGGGGATCAGACTGTTAAATGGATGAGTACCGATTACTCATTGTGTTCATTCAGGAAAGGAAGGGGCTGGTAAATGTGACATATTTACAGGACCCTTCCCCTACTCTCCATCCTGAAGGATCTTATTGTGTGTTTGCAGCTGAGGATGGGAAGGAGAGGAGGGAAGCCGGCAGCACTGCGGGGGTAGGGGGGACACACAGGGAGTCCTGCGCAGCAGGGGGAAACATATGGTGCACGGGGGGGGGGGGGGATGAATGGTGTGGTGGTGGGGGATTACTGGAACCGATCCCCTGTATTACTCTCTCTGCAACAGCTGAAAGCTGGGGGGAGGGAGAGGAGAAGCAGCCAGCTTTTAACTGCTGCAAAGAGAGTAATACAGGGGATCGGTTCCAGTAATTGCCCCCCCCAACACACACACATGCCGATCACCCTCCCTGCCCACAACCTATTCATTCAGCTGCGCTTGGGCCCCATACAGGAGGACCACTGGTACCCCCTTATTTACAGCCCTGCCTCCTATATTAGACAGGGCTATGCTTTATGGCAGAGCTGTGTAAATCTCAAGACTGGGTGGACAGAAATACAACTCCTATGACAGGTAACAGAGCTCCCTTCACTGTATTTCACGTATACAGTTAGCTAATTTTCTGGAGTTCCGCTTTAGGGATAACACCTGTAGTATAGAGCAAAAACACCACACAAACACATGTATATAAAAATATAGATGCACGCACATAAGTCTCAGTGGAGGTAAATAATACAGGTCATATATTTCAGTCAATGTCTCCAAAGAGCATCTCTTCTCTATTATTGCACATTCATACTCTCTGTATCTGATCTTTTTTTAGCTGTGGCTGTGTCTCAGGAAGAGGTCACACTGCCCTAACTTCCCACTGCACTCTAATCACAATATGTTACCAATCAGCAGCCATCAGGACAAATCACTCTCAGCAAGTCAGATACATATAGAGCATCCAGTCAATGACATACCGAGGAGAGCATTGCGACCGTTGTCATCGGGGAGAAACCTCTTATCCACAGCACACACTAGAATATGGTCTGGTAAACTAGGGGACTTGGCACCAACCAACAGAAATCCGGGAGGCACTTCAAACTGTTCTGTACACACAGTTGCCAATCTCAGGTCTTTACCGGCCTGGCAAAAGCCTAAAACAAGAAACAAGATTTAGTAAACTGCTATATACAGTAGTATATATATATATATATATATATATATATATACACACACACACAACTGGGTATTTGGGTTACAGTGCATTATTGAACATTTAAAGTTAGACAACATAGTACAGTAGTCATTACAATAGGATTGGCTATCTTTATACATACGATTAACTAATGGTTAGTACATAAAGGTCTGTAGCACTTACCATCTGTTGTACAGCAACCTTCAGGGGGAGGTTTGTTCTGATATGAGTGAGGTGAACTGCTTGATTCAGACCCATCATCGTCTTCCTCTTCATCATCATTATTATCCAAACGACCACCTTTCAAGAACACAACACATTATAAACAGCTCTTTAGAACAGCCTTTCTCAACCAGGGTTCCCAGGCACACTGGAGTGCCTTTAGGTTTCTTCAGGGGTGCCTTAGCAAAATGTCTAAAAATTGCCCAAAACTTGTATACAAGCCAGCGGGTGGAACAAGCCTGCCTTTTAGTTACACAAAGCCACAGGTTATCTTCTAATTGTGCACCATTATGACCTTCTAGCCACCAACATCCTGACAGCCAATAACATCATCAGCTGATAAGGAGGAAAGGATGTCAGCTGCCTGCACAGCATCCTAGTTTGACCCTCCCCTGCCCCTCTTTGTCAGTGCTGGGGTCACATTAGCTAAGTGATGGATAATAACTGAGGAAGAAAAGAAACATAGGAATACTAGTCAGTATCCAGTGTGCAAAAGTGTATTTGCTTTGGAAGAATAAATCACCTCTAATGTTGAATGTCCTATATGTGTGGTTGTTGCTGTGTTATATACAACTATTAGAATGGTTTTTCACATTTTAGAATGGGGTGCCTTGAGACTGTCCATAATTTTAAAGGGTGTCTTGGGACTGTCCATAATTTTAAAGGGTGCCTTGACTGAAAAAAGGTTGAGAAACACTGCTTTAGAATATTAGCACTAACAGTAAGACAGCCATCTTTTAGCATTTATATCTTCTGGATGGGACATTAGGTTTTTTTTGCTGCACCACTTTCTGAAGAAGGAGATTGTGTACCTTTGAAATAGCTTTGCAATATACAATAATCATAAAAATTTCATGTTTGTAGACTCAGTAAGTCCTATTCTAATTTTTTTTATTGTAGATCAGTTGTAGCCTGATCTTCTCTCCTAATGAAGAGCTCATGTATTAAAGGACCATCTCCCGATGCTAGTGGAGTGACAGCTGATGTTGCCCCAATCTTGCAGCTGCACCAAGCAAATGCTGAAACCAAAAAAGTCAGAACATTCTGAGATACTCACATGGGATCACACAAAACTACAGTTGCACAAGGGAGCAGATAAAGGGTCACACACATCATTTTACATTACATCACTGCCATATATTTGCTAAAATGTTAGAACTCTGAGCTGTGATGTAGGCTTTGGAACAAAAACTTTTTTCTGCAAAATTTTTACCATTGAATTTCCAACTTTAATCAGGCATCTCCCTAATATTGAATATGAGGACTGAAAGGTGCATCTGCACCATGAAGGCTCCTATGAAGACAGGAACTTGGTGCAGGCTTTGTAAAGAAAAGGATAAAACTGTAAGTAGCTAACAAGACAGTGTATGAGGGAAACATGTTAGACCAGTCCTTCTCAACTTTTTTAACAAAGAGGAACCCTTCAGAATAACGTTCCAGTCTTAGGGAACCCTTGTTACAGCTCATGGTACATTAGTGTGATGTTCTCGGGGAAGAATGCTCCTAAGGCTGGCCATACGTCTTCTTATTTTCGCTCAACAAACAGGTGTGTGGATGGCAGAATCCTTCCCGCTCTGCTATTGTATTCTGACAGCAGGGAGACTTCTCCGCTGTCAGAATACACTGATCAGCACCACCAGCTATAGTGCTGAGCCTGACAAAGTTTTTCAACAGGCTGGCTGTACACAAATTGTTCAAAAGATTGACTTGTGCATAACCAGTCTATTCATACATGGGTCGAAATTTGGCTGGTCCCTTCTGAACCAGACAAATTTCTATCCCTGTTTGGCTGGTTTTACACTTGTCATTAGGAAGAGTTCCCCCTTTACAGATGGCTAAGAAGATTATTGTTTTCAGTAGTTACTTATCTGAGAGGCAGAAATTGCTCAATACTCAAGGAACCTCTAGCAAACTCTGGAGGAACCCTAGTTGGGAAAGGCTATGTTAGGCAATAAAGGTCTGAAGAACACAATTCTGCTGAACGGCTACAATTACAAATTGTTACAAATCAAGTATTATAAAGAACTGATACTGATTATTCTAGATTTTAAAAACAAATATTTGCCACATAAGACTAGTAAAATAATGATGGAGAAACTAACTAGATTGCCGTGCAAATGAACAGAACACTATATATGAGCAGTTATGTGTGGTAACACTGTCATAGTAATGTTTAATAATACAACATTATTAATAGCTATTTCTTATAATCATTTATGTAGAGTAGATGTAGTGGTAGAATAGTATCTGTTAAAAAGAGCCTGGCATGAAAATACATTTCTCATGTCATTTTTTCTTGTTGCCCAAATGTTGGTGAGGAAAGGAAATTCACTATAAATAGTTTTGTACTTCTGCTCAAGGCTGCAAGAATTGCCTGGAAGTATACATGTATCAATTTTGCTTTAGATTTATTCAGCTGGGAGTTTTTATCTTATTTGCACATATTTTCTTTTTTCAGTTCCATGTTTCCTTGTTATGTTTATACAAAGTGCATTTTGAAATTGCAACTATTATAACTATAATGGGCATTGCTAGCTTTTTTGTGATGCTTTGGTTTAAAAGAATATTTTGTAGTACTGAAAAACGTCTAGAAAAAAATTAAAAATGTAAAGCTACTCATCGTAAAAAATATTCAAAGAAATAAAAAAATGCTTATGAGTGCTTGGATTTTTCTAGGATACAGTTAGGATATACAAAATGATTAAAGCAGACCTTCACTCTTTCAGTCAACATGGACTATTTTTAAATTATGCTGCTAGCATTAGTAAATAGATAAGAAATTATATCATATTTACTTATTTAAACTTTTTTTTTAATATTGTTTTTCCAGTTACTTCCTGGTTTCCTTGCCTAGGAATATGATGGCATACACCCCAGGAGTCTTCAGGAGGGGAGGGAGGGTTCTCTGCTCAACCTATGCCTGAGCTAAGGCAGATGGATTCCAGGAATTAAATGATACATGAATCATCTGCCCTGACTCAAGATGGCCACTTCCAAAAATATATATCTTAATATTGGACGGCACAAATGGACGTATATACCACTATTAAAAATTCCTAAATTAAAACAAAAAAAGCAGCAGCTCTCTAATTACTTGGAAACCAAGAAAAATGCAGTGTAAACAATATTGTCATCCACAAAACGTGTGGGGTGGGGCTTTGGAGGTGACGTCACCACGTATGGGTGAACTGCCGGTGTCCGTGGAGACAGGAGCTGATCCGATTGCTGTTACTGCTGGTGTCGACTGTGACACTTTGCTCTGTGAGTGTGGTTTATACTTTTTAATGGAATAAAATTCTTTTAATGGTGTTACGCTATGACGCTTCCTCTTCTCTTCCTTTCACATGGTATATACATGCATGAGGATTTATCCATAGAGGTGTAGAGGCTGTTGTCATCCCTGCAGATCGTTGCTACCAGAGCCACTGTTCATTAGCTGGTTTATAATATTACCAGCATAGAGCTCTGGTAAGTTCATTTAATTTGGCTGAAGGTGGATTTGTCACAGTGTGGTGGTGTTTTGATAAGAAGCACGTATGTTCATGAAGATAACACAAAAAAGAGATATTTTGCATATTTATTTATAGATGTTTAAATATATTGATAATATTGCATGGACACATTGTCAATCACATAAAGTAGTGGTCACGGATATATGCTATAGATGTGATAATATTTGTTTTCACGTGTTATGAGACATAATTTTGTATGTTTATTTATATTTTTTTGACATATTAAGGTACGGAGAGACGGTCTGCTTTGAGATGTGATAATACTCACACCCTGAGTAGCGCTTGTCTAACTATTTTTTACACATTTTTCATGGTTTCCAAGTACTGTATTTTTCGCTCCAGAAGACGCACCTAGATTTTAGAGGTGAAAAACAGGAAGAAAAATATTCTGAACCAAAGTACTGCAGACATAGTACAGGAGATGACCAGAGACTGCGGACATGGTACAGGAGATGACCAGAGACTGTGGACATGGTACAGGAGATGACCAGAGACTGCGGACATAGTACAGGAGATGACCAGAGACTGCGGACAGTACAGGAGATGATCAGAGACTGCGGACATGGTACAGGAGATGACCAGAGACTGCGGACATGGTACAGGAGATGATCAGAGACTGCGGACATGGTACAGGAGATGACCAGAGACTGCGGATACAGGAGATACAGAGACTGCGGACGGTACAGGAGATGACCAGAGACTGCGGACACGGTACAGGAGATGACCAGAGAGTGCAGACACGGTACAGGAGATGACCAGAGACTGCGGATACGGTACAGGAGATGACCAGAGAGTGCAGACACGGTACAGGAGATGACCAGAGACTGCGGACATAGTACAGGAGGTGATCAGAGACTGCGGACACAGTACAGGAGATGACCAGAGACTGTGGACATGGTACAGGAGATGACCAGAGACTGCAGACATGGTACAGGAGATGACCAGAGACTGCAGACATGGTACAGGAGAGGATCAGAGACTGCGGACATAGTACAGGAGATGACCAGAGACTGAGGACACGGTACAGGTGATGACCACTGAGGACACGGTACAGACCAGAGACTGCGGATACGGTACAGGAGATGACCAGAGACTGTGGACACAGTACAAGAGATGACCAGAGACTGCGGACCTTTGGGGAGTGGAGGGGGGGCGCGGGTACCCGAATTTGACAGGTACCCACTCCCACTTCTGCGGAGTTGTCCTCCCCCCTCCTTCCCCGTAATCTTCTGGGACACGTGACAGAAGATTACAGGGCCATTCACAAAGCACGGCGCTTCTTGCACATGCGCAGTGGGCATCCGACTGTGAAGCTGCAAGCTGTCACAGCCGGGTGCCAATGCCGACATCGGGGAAAGAAGACTGAGGACACCGCTGGACCGAGGAACAGGTAGGTCTGCTTGATGTCTGCAAAGAAGAGCCGAGCGGCCGGCCTGGTATTCTAACACGGGGGGGGAATACCGGGCAAGCCGCTCGATATTCGCTCCATAAGATGCACAGACATTTTCCCCCATTTTTTTGGGGGGGAAAAGTGTGTCTTATGGAGTGAAAAATATGGTAACTAGA